GGAAACCATGGGACCTATGTTTCTTTGGGCCTGGCTTACTTCACTTAATATAATTTTTTCCAAGTCTTTCCATTTCCTAACAAATGGGGCAATGGAATTCTATGCCTCCATCAGAAAGAATGCCATTGCCCCATTTGTTAGGAAATGTTTCAAGTCTTTTATCTATTGCCTATCAGTATTGTTCATAATAGCCCTTTGTACCTACATCTGTCTTATAGAATACTTAACTAACTGCAAGGTTAGTTTATCTTTGAGGTCCTTTTGTTTATGCAAATTTTAGAAATGAGTTTGGTTTCTTCTAGTATCTGATGGGTAGCTTTTGAATCAGACACACCACATTGCTCTCCCAAATAACAACATTAAATTGTTGGCATACTACAGTCCAAATCTATATTACAAACATTTTCTCCTAAGAGAGCACTTGACTTTATTTTTAAAACATATAAAGTATATTTCTCTGTTTCAGAATCCCATATTAAAATTGAACTCCCTCTGTCTGCTTTTCAAAAAGAATTCCTGGCTATGTCATTGCAAAACCCCACTGAAGCTGTTAAATCACTATTAGTGCCCAAGATAGATTATCAAAGGGTATCCATTGTCTAGCTCCTCATCAGCAGAATAGACTATTTAAAAATTTCTGTTGGATACTCTGTTCCCAGTTAGCCTATAGTTGTGATACCCCTCTAAAAGCATGAGATCTGAGGATCATGGTTCAAACTAGCCTAGGTAGGAAAGTCTGTGAGACTCTTAACTCTGATTAACCACCAGAAAACCAGAAGTGGCGCTGTGGCTCAAAGTGATAGAATGCTAAGATTGAGCAAAAGAGCTCAAGGACAGTGCATAGGCCCTGAGTTCAGTCCCTATGGCTGGAAAAAGAAAGTATTCCTGCCAAGCGCCAGTGGCTCACGCCTATAATCCTAGCTACTCAGGAGCCTAGCTACTCAGGAGCCTAGCTACTCAGGAGGCTGAGATCTGAGGATCGAGGTTCAAAGCCAGCCCGGGCAGGAAAGACCCTGAGATTCCTATCTCCAATAAACCACTAGAAAACCGGAAGTGGCGCTGTAGCTCAAGTCGTAGAGAACTCGCCTTGAGCTGAAGAGCTGAGGGACAGTGCCCAGGCCCAGAGTTCAGGCCCCATGACCGGAGACCAAAAAAAAAAAAAAAAAAAAGTATTCCTTTCCTCAGCAATACCTTAATGATTACACGTGAGATTTTATAGAGAGTTAGTTTATTCTGTAGTCAAACTTTTTTTGTTTCAATTTCAATTTTGAATTTTAAATTTTGAGAACTCTGATTAGATAAAAAGGATTACATAGCTGCTGAGACCTAGGTCACAATTAGTCTTTTTTCCTATAACTGGAACTCTTTTGCATGCAGCTCTTGTCTTGGGAAAGTAAGAAGGAAACTGAAATGAGAGTATGTTCTGTGTTAGTCCTTCTCCGCAGTAAATGATGGACTGTCACATACTCTGTGCTATTTCTTGTATCATTGATTTGACCTTTTATTTAATATTTTGCCAAAAGATACTGTTTTTTTACATATAGGCAAGCTTCTTTTGGCAGGCAGAGTAATTTCTACTTAAAAACAGAAAATGAAAGTTGTTGAGGAATAGAAAAGGAAAACTTATGCACAGAGCCTATTTTTATTTTCTAAGCATGTGTATTGATATACACATGTACAGGAAATTAATGAAAATCTATGTATTGTATTTCATATAAATCTTCTGTGTAAGTGGATTTAAAAATCATTGTGTACATTCTGACCTAAGTTGTTTGGTTCACTGTTGTTCCATGTATCATATATATGTATCTATTCTTTGGGTATTTTATAATATAAATCCTTTGAGGGGAGAAAAGAGTTTGAGCAAACATTTATTTTGTTTTTATAGAGAAATTTATAAAATGCTTCTTTTCTTCGTGATCAAATATGTTATTTGACTTTTTTCATAGAAATTTCAAGAAATTGCAGAAAAGAATATGGAAAAATTGAATCGTATTGAGAAGTCACATGAACAGTTGGTGCTTGAAAATTCGCACTTCAAAAATATGTTATCGAAGACTCAAAGAGAACAAACATCTTTGCTGGCAGCCTGTGCATTGATGGCTGGTGCATTATATCCCCTCTATAGTAGATCGTGTGCTTTATCTACACAGAGAGATTTTCTCCAGGAGCAGTTCAACACATTTGAATTGTTCAAGCTAGAAATTAGAACTCTAGCCCAAGCATTGTCAACAGTAGAGGAGAAGAAACAAGATGAAGCCAAGATGAAGAAAAAACCATTCAAAGGCTCGATACGCATATTCCGGAAAGGTGTTATTGCAATTTTGGCAGCAAACAGACTCAAGATTTTGGGCCAGTCCTGTGCCTCCCTTTTTACCTGGATGGAAAATTTCAAAGAAGGCATAGGCATGTTGGTGTGTTTAGGAGAGCCTAAAGATAAGCATAAATTTCCAAGTAAGATAATTTGTGCTTCTTAAAATCTAAGTTGCATGTAAGTGAAATACAGTGTTAATACATTTAGTTATTATGCAAAACTTTTAAAGAATCATGTAACGTGTCGTTACCTAACATAGTCTTGTTTTTGTATAGGTACATATATATGAGTAAATGTTTATTTTTATGCAAGTTAAGCCTTGCTTTTTCTGTTTAAAACGGATTAAAATATAAAGAAGCAATTATGTTCAATTTCATTGTGTTCTAGCTTTATTGTATTTGAGTTCATCTTTTTTTGTAGTTTATAATATGATTTTTTTAGACAATTCAAAACACTGTTATTTATCAATACCATTTATATTTTTTTATCAGAATAATATGAGATAAGAGTTCAGCTGCTAAAGAGTTCTATAAACATGGCACAAATATACAATTTCTTGAATTTTTGACTATTTTGAGAAAATAATAGACTCAGTTGTTCATTTGTTTTTTCTGCACTGAAAGTCTAACTTAGTGCTTTAAGCACAGTAGGCAAGTTTTTTTTTTTTTTTTTTTTTTGGGCCCAGTCGTGAGGCCTGAACTCTGGGCCTGGGTGCTGTCCCTCAGCTCTTCAGCTCAAGGCTAGCGCTCTACCACTTGAGCCACAACACCACTTCCGGCTTTTTTCTTTTTGCTTATGTGGTGCTGAGGAATCAAATCCAGGGCCTCATGCATGCAAGGCAAGCGCTCTACCACTGAGCCACCTTCCCAGCCTCAGGCAAGTTCTTTATTATTGAGTAGAGTCCTAGATTGTTAGCTTAAAAAAAAATCAGACTATTAAATAATTTAAACAAGGAAAAAGAAAATTTCTTTTTCTATCATTTTTAGTGTCAATAACAGTTATGTATAATTTAGATCAATCAAGTGTAACATTGCTTATGGAATTTTCTGTATTAGACAATATATGACTACAAAGCTTGATTTGCTTCTAAAAATAGCTGATTCCAGCTATTTTAAATTTGTATTTCAGTAAGCTTCTGTAAAATTTCATAATGGATATTTTGTATTCTTGCAGAACATCAAAGGGAGCAGTTACGTTGCTTACAAGCACTCAGTTGGCTCACCAGTTCTGACCTTCTTACTGCAGTAATCAGTTCTATGGCTGAGTTGCAAGACGTCATTAGTAAAACAGGTATAATTTCTTCTTTTATGTCATTGTAAAATATACTTAAAAGCAAATGTCCAAAAATGATTTGTGGTACAAATTCTAATAAATTTTCTAGAAAGACAATGCATTTGTGCCTATCATTCTTTTGTTTAGTCACAGAGAGATGGCTAAATCTGTATTTAATGCTATAGTAAATTAATGTAAATTTTGATATCTAATTTTTTTGGGGGGAAATTAACATTTCCTGCCAAATGAATCTATCTCATTGTTTTCCCTTTTATCTGGTTTTCCTATGGAAAGCTTATCATCATTATATTATTATTATTATTATAGTAATGTAGAAACTTTATTTGGGAGCTTGAGTAATAATAGATCCAGCAGAAGAAGATTTCTGTCTTGTTTTATGATATGTTTTTATTTTTTCTAATTTCTTTTAGACAAGATGTGTTCTTTTCTACCAGGTATGTAATCAGCTATAGTCAATGATTTCTTAAGCTTTAATTCAAGTTTATTTTTTTCACTACTCAGATTGAATGTGTGTGTGTGTGTGTGTGTGTGTGTGTGTGTGTGTGTGAATGTGAAAGTTTCAATTAAAATTAATTTCACAGTAGAAGTGTTGACATACAGTTACTGATTAAGCTGTGTCAGTCAGTGAACTATTATGATTATTAAAATATACTAACATTAAATATAGTGTAATGTTCTTAAGATTTATGTGCTGAATAAAATGTTACAAGTATCAATGAAATAATGTGATATGTAGTTCTTTAGACAATTCTCTATAAATAGGAAACATTCATTATGCTTTTGGGCATCTGAATTGTCTCTTTTAGTAGGGAATGTATAACTCAAAGGTTATGTTTTGAGATCTGAAATAAAAATTATTTTAAGAATTTTTATTATAGGTTTGAAGCAAAACTGTGGCATTATTTATTTTTTTAATTTTTTATTTCTTGCCTGTATTGAGGCTTGAACTCAGGGCCTGGACTCTGTCCCTGAGCTTCTCTGTACTCAAGGCTAGCACTCTACCATTAGAGTGCCACTTCTGGCTTTTTCTGAGTAGTTTATTGGAAATAAGAGTTACATGGACTTTCCTGCCTGGGCTGGCTTTGAGCCATGATCCTCTAATCTCAGCCTTCTGAGTAGCTAGGATTATAGGCATGAGCCACTGGTACCTAGCTATGGCATTATTTAAAGAATATAATAATAGTGTTTAGAGTTTGCTTAATGAGCAAATGATCTGTGTTAGCCATATCCTTTATAGGTATGTGGGTACTTTAATGTACATTGTTTTCTTGAGCTATAATCTTGTTTGTGGATAATCTTATTTGTATTATTACTTTATTAAGTATATTTTTATTTAACATTGTGTTATATATTTTTAAATGATAAAACAAAAATAATAATTGATTCAAACTTCTAAAATATGTACAATACTTATGTAGTAAAAATGACAACTTATACTCAAAGTTAAGTAGAATGCAGTTAAAATTGGGATGAAGAATGCAGGCTTTACATGTAAGAATTCTTAGTAGATGCAACTCAGTGTAGATTGTGATTATAGGAAAGAATTCAGGAAGGAACTAGTGATTTAGCTGGGCCTAGAGTGATGCTAAAGAACATAGTATTCAGATGAAGGAAGTTGGCATAAGTACAGATACAGAGATGGGAATAAGCCTACAATACAAAGGTGGGTGGACACTTAACGAGGCCAGAATGGACATCTGTGCCTAGCAATCATATTGTATATGTTCATATTAGAGCAAAATCAGATAGTTGGCATGGTCTCAGATTATAGATGTTAGTATAATGAAGCATATTCCATAAGTGGCCCTTTGGAACACTTTTAGTTAAAATTTTGACAAGTGTTTATTAAGATCATTACCCCTAGGTAAGACATATCAAGTAGAAAATGACCAAGAGTGGTATTGTTAAGTGTTCATCTACCTATGGAAGGTCTGACTGTGCCTCTAATAGCTTGAGGAAATAAGATGTCTAGGGAAATTCAGTTTTAAGGAAGAGTTTAGTGTTTTTTGACTAAGAAACACAATTAAGGGATGAATAAGTGTTACTTGGTGGGAAAAAAAGAATTGATTTATCCAAGTAATGAGGAATACTGGAAAGAATATGGGCTAGATTGGTAGATAAATTAATGTTTTTGGATCAGTACAAAAATGATCAATGTAGACTGCTTCATGGGATAACTTGATTATTTGAGTTTATAGAAGAATTTCTTCAAGTATGATGACTAATATTATATTATAATCTCCAGGTCATTTTTTTTCCGGGTACTGGGGCTTAACCTCAGGGTCCTCTCACTCTCATTTGGCTTTTTCACTCAAGCTGGTTCTCTACCACTTAAGTTACACCTCTACTTTGGCATTTTGCTGGTTAATTGGAGATAAGAGTCTCACAGACTTTCCTACCTGGTCTGGCTTCAAGCTGAGATTTGAGGATTAGGATTATAGGCATGAGCCACTAGCACCTTTTTTTTTTTTTTTTGAGTTTGTAAATTGGTTTACTTTTTTTTTCTGTTTCCATTTTTTTTTATTGTGAAAATACCATACAGAGTGGTTACAATTACATGGGCAAGGTAATGAGTACATTTCTATCAAGCATTGTTGCCTCCTCCTTTGTTTCCCCTTTCCATCCCTTCCCATGGGACCTATGTTTCTTTGGGTCTGGCTTACTTCACTTAATATAATTTGTTCCAAGTCTTTCCATTTCCTAACAAATGGGGGCAATGTCATTCTTGCTAATGGAGTCATAGAATTCCATTGTGTATATATACCACATTTTCTTGATCCATTCATCTACTGAGGGGCATCTGGGTTGGTTCCTTATCTTAGCTATGATAAATAATGCTGCAATAAACATAGTTGTGCTGGTAGCTTTAGTGTGGTCTTGTTTGTGATCATTTGGGTAAATGCCCAAAAGTGGGGTTGCTGGGTCAAAGGGGGGCTCTATGTGGAGTTTTTTTTTTCTTTGTTGGTGGTGGGGCCTACACACTGGGTTTGGGCGCTGTACCTCAGCTCTTCAGCTCAAGGCAAGCGCTCTACCGCTTGAGCTACAGCGCCACTTCCGGTTTTCTAGTGGTTTATGGGAGATAGGAGTCTCAGTCTTTCCTGCCGGGGCTGGCTTTGAACCGCGATCTTCAGATCTCAGTCTCCTGAGTAGCTAGTATTACAGGCGTGAGCCACCGGCAACGGGCTATGTGGAGTCTTTTGAGGAACCTCCATACTGCTTTCCAAAGTGGTTGAACAAGTTTACACTCCCACCAACAATGCAGTAAGATTCCCTTCTGTCCACATCCCCTCCAGCATCTGTTGTTATTCGAGTTCTTGATTATAGTCATTCTAACTGGGGTGAGGTAGTATCTCAATGTTGTTTTGATTTGCCTTTCTTTTATGGCTAGGGAGGTTGAGCATTTCTTCATAATGTCTATTGGCCATCCTTCTTTCCTCTTCAGAGAAGTTTCTCTTTAAGTCTTTAGCCCACTTATTTATTGGGCAGTTGTTTCTTTGAGAATTAGTTGTTGGTGATTTAATTTTTTGAGTTCCAGGTATATTTTAGATATGAGACCCTTATCTGTTATATGGCTAAGTGAAGATCTTCTCCCAATTTGTGGGCTTTCTATTGATCTTTCTAGCTATGTCCTTTTGCCATGCAGAAGCCCTGCAATTTCATGCAATCCCAACCTTTGTCCAACCTTTCTTTGATTTGTTGTGTTTCTGGGTCTCTATTAAGAAATTTTGGGGGCTGGGAAGGTGGTTCAGTGGTAGAGCGCTTGCCTTGCATGCTCAAGGCCCTGGGTTCGATTCCTCAGCACCACATAAGAAAAAAGCCGGAAGTGGCGCTGTGGCTCAAGTGGTAGAGCGTTAGCCTTGAGCTGAAGAGCTGAGGGACAGTGCCCAGGCCCAGAGTTCAGCCCCACGACCAGACCCCCCCCCCAAAAAAAGAAATTTTGGCTTGTGCCAAGGAGACCTAGGGTTTCTCTTTTCCATCCTGTAATGTCAGAGTGTCAGCTTCGACTCCGAGGTCTTTGATCCATTTGGAGTTGATTCTGGTGCAGGGTGATATGTAAGGATCTAGCTTTAGTTTTCTACAAGTGATTAACCAATTTTGCCAGCACCATTTACTGAAGAGGCTGTCTTTCTTCCATTCTATTTTTTTTTTTACCTCCCTTATCGAAGATTAGATGGCTATAGGTCGGTGGGTTCAATTTTGGGTTTTCAATTCTATTCCATTGGTCCTGAGGTCTGTTCTTGTGCCAGTACCAAGCTGTTTTGATTACTCTGGCTTTGTAGTAGAGTCTGACAATAATTTTTAAAGTATATTCTGGTAGTGGAACTTTCTGCACAAAAAGTGGGATCATATTTTCACACAAAGATAATGGAAAACATAATGAGTATAATAAATATACATAAAGCTATAACAACTGTACATTCATGTTGAATTTATAATTTAAGTATACAAATAACCAAAATCAGTATTATTGCTGCTGTTATAATTTTTATCATCATTGTTATTATTTTGTCAGTATGGGGGTTTGAACTTAAGGTCTTTCAATTTGCTAGGCAGGTGTTCTAACACTTAAGCCATATCTTCAGCTTCTGGCAAACAGTTTTCCTTTAAGTATCTTTGCAGTGATGATTTAGCAATAATGTATTTCTTTAGCTTTTGTTTATCACAGAAAGTTTTTATTTCTCCACTGATTATGAAGGATAGTTTCACTGGGCACAGTAGTCTAGGTTGGTAATTGTTATCTTAAGAGCTTGAATTATGTCTTTCCAAACCTTTCTTGTATCAGTGTTTGCAGTGAGAAATCTGTGGATGTTCTAATGGATTTGCCCTTGTCAGATACTTGTTTCCTCTATTTTATACCTATATTCTATTTTTCCGTGTGTTTAGTATTAATGTATCTAGAATGGTTTCCTTTTAAATCTTGCCTCTTTGGTGTCTGTAAACCTCTATCACTCCACTAACCTTATCTTTCCAGGTAGGGGAAGTTTTATGCTATTATT